TCCTTTGTTATGCTTTCTCCAGGGGACATAGTGGAGGGCTGGGAGGGAGCTGAGACCTGAAACACTCAACTCCAGATTGCTGGAAGGCTCTGGGAGTGAGGGCGGCCATGGGGCAGTGCAGTCTGCAGAGGGAGCCCCAAGAAGAGTGAGGAGAGCTGCCCACCTTTGTCTTCTCTGAAGCCCATCACCTTTCTGGCACTGAGGTGCTTGGCAGCCTCTTCGATGTTCTCCTGTCATGTGACTTTTTCTGAGCTTTAAGCTGTTGTAGCAAGCACTACCTGACAACCTGAGGTATAAAGCCAACTGAGAAACATCTGGTTACAAAGTCACTCTACAAACTCAACTGTCCCAGGGATGCCACGTTTACGTTATTTCCCAGAGGTCAAAAGAAATGTGACCCTGAGTGACATTCCTGCCGATGAAAGCCAGACATGCCCACCCCACCCCCCCACACACACCGAGGAAGAGGTGGGGGAGGGTTTTCTTTAGGACAATGAACTGTCAGGCATCGACCCTCTCCCCCAAGTGCAGCTGCACTCCAAACTGCGTGCTGTTGAGCGCCTGGTCCTTCCTACAGGTTCCCTGGTGGTCAGTGTTACCTGTACAGCTAGACTGGATCTGGGCTGTCACCTGGCCACTTCCACTGGATACTGCCAGCCCCCCCCCCCACCATCTTCCCAGTCCTAGGGAAATCTTCTTCTGTCGCATGGCACAAGAAGGCATATGGCTTTCTCTCTCTTTCCTAGAGCCAGAGAGGCAGCCTATACTGAGAACCTTCTAGAAGGCTAGAACACAGTTAATACTGGAGGAAAGAAAGCATGTGCAAGAGCACACAGCATCTAGGGAGCCCTCGCAGGTCCTTCTGACACCCGCAGGCATGTGCTCATGATGCCTACACCACCACTAAGAGAAACTTTGCAGCTCCATCCTTAGAAATCCTGCCTGTCACCCCCAGATATGGCTGTGTGACGTTCCAGACTGCGCCCAATGCTGCTTCCTTGGACATCCTCTCAGAAGGCTACCCAGGCCAGGCCATAGTTAATTCTTCTGGAATCTTTCTTGGCAGCTCTAGGCTTGGCTTATGTTTATTGAATATGCAAAAATGGCTGTCATGGGCTCAGATCTGGCCATCTTTCTTTCCTGTTTAAAACCCATGCTCCTCCGCTCAGCTCAGACCCTGTGTGACTGGCTCCCTGCCTGTTTTTTCAGCTTCAACCCACTACAGCCTCTTTTCAGGCCCACCATGGGCCTCCAAATCTCACGCCACCCTCTCTCCTCTCTGGGACTCTCGCCCCACGGTGACTGTGCCTTGCTCAGCCTCCTGGCCGCCGCCTCAGCTACCTCAGGCTTTCTACAGTGTGAGAGTGGAGTTGAATGTCCCTGGGCCCAGAGTCAAAAGAGAGCTCTGCTATGTGGCCGGTGTGCTGCCTCTTCTTCTTAGCGCCTCGGCCTTCTCATCTGTAAGCTGGGCATCATAAAGCCAACTTCACAGGACCACAGTGAGGAGACAGAACAGAAATAGAAACGGTGACCCTGGGGCTCAGTAACTAAAGGACCTCTGCCATTCTCCCATCCACCTCCTTATACACCCCTCAGCCGGAGAAGCAGAACAGAGATGATTTAGCAGAGAGGGGGTGAATGACTAGATTCTCCACGAGGACTTCGTGTGATAACATACAGAGGATCCAAGTGGCAGCCATATTTTCTGGCATTTACTATCTGCAGGCCACCATGTGGAGACTTAAAAAGCATTCATCTGCTTCATCTCCAAATCTACTAATGGGAAGTTTTTCTTTCACTTACCTGGCCACGCCTATGATTTTTTTCAATGTTCAAAATGGAGCTGAAATGATAGGCACTCCATGAACATTGTGGCCTTTGTCCTAGGCTAGGGATGGGCTCTAGGATTCTTTCTGGAGCAGTGGGGTAGCAGCCAGCTGTCTCTTGGAGCCAATCCTGAATCCTGAGTCCCCAACAATTAGTGTCCTCTGCCATGGAGTGTGGTGCTTGGTTCTTTCCATGTATGCACGCTACAACCTCGAAGAATTGCCTACATCCGATTGGCCTGCAACCATGTGGATGAGACTTTTTTGTTTTTTTGCTTGTTGGTTGATATAGGAGAACCCACACCATGGGCATTAAGCAGGTGGGTCCGGGCTGTGTCAGAAAGCTGAACATGAGTCAGAAAGATCAGAGCCAGTAAGAATCCCAGTTTTCATCCCAGTTTCTGATTTAAGTTCCTGCCTTAAGTTCCTGCCCTGCCTTTGTTTGTGATGCGCTGTGACCTGGTAATGTGATCCAAAGAAACCCTTTCCCTCAAGTTGGTTTTGGGTAGATGGTTTAATCACAGTGAGATAAAGCAAACTAGAACACACACACACACACACACACACACACACACACACACACACACACAC